AATTTGTTTCTCTTTGATTTGTTTGTTTTGCATTTTTCGTTAAGCCCTGTGGTAGGACTTCTCTTACCCCGTGCTGGTAAACTGACAATTGGTTACAATGCAGCATTTTTGAGATGAGCTGAATGTTCAAAGTAGTGTTCTTTTGGGCCAATTTATGGCTTGTAGTTCTTGCTTGCTTCAAGATTGTTTAACTGGACACTTGATGGCACAATATTATATATGGATAACAAAGAATATGTCTATTTCTCACTTGGATTTAATGCAAGGACCGTGAGTGGAGTCAGTCTCCTTCCATCAGCTAGTTATTGGAGCCAGTGGAAATTGGCCTTTGCATTGAGTGCCTCAGTTAAATATGAGTAGATGGTCTGAAACCTTTCAGCCCCCATCTCAGTGAGAAAAATCAGGTCTATATTTTTAAAGTTAAAATGAATGCTTTGAATCAAGGTTTACCCCGATTATGGTGATAATATTCATCTTTGTGTGTTTTTAAATCATTCTTTCACAGATTCATAGGTGTATTCATATCTGTGTTCTGATTTCATAAGTTTCCTCATGCTGCTGTAGATGAAGCATATTTTGGAAGTATTTTAATGAGTGCCTCAAATGTTCTCTGAGTGTGCATTGTACTAGTAAAGCTCATTGCTACAGGAAACTAAAATTCCTTCCATTGCTTTAAAACATGTCCTTAGTTTAGAAATATCTTCCCCCAGCCTTCATCCTGAAAGTAAAGAAGTGAATGATGTAGCTGATGTTGATGTAGTAAAGCTTTGGGTAGTCTTGGGTAGCTATTCTTACCTGCAGTATTAAGAGGAAACGGAATCCAGGAGTTAGTAAAATGGAAACTGTGGCTATTTATAGGTATTCTTAGCTCAGGAAACTGAAATCATACTCTGAGTCAAGCAACTGTTTTCATCTAACTATGACTGGTTATCTTTATGACATACTTTATTTAAAATAACAGAGGTGGCAACATTTGATACTTGTTGCTAATTGGACTGAGTGGTAGGCAGAATAGCTGAGGAAGGCTGACTTGGCTCAGCGTCCTCAGTGACTTACACGCTCTTGCACAAGGTCATGTTTTCTAGTGAGATATTTGCATGATTCCAACTTTTGGTTTTCTCTTTCACAGTTAGCCTACTTCTATCAGAGAAAAGGTTGGAAGACTTGTTTGATATGTGCAGACACATACAGAGCAGGTAAAGAAACAAATTTGTAATATTTGTAGCATCTCCAATATTTAAAGATTTTTAGATTATCCTTTAACTCTACCTGTCTTACAGGTGCTTTTGACCAATTAAAGCAGAATGCCACAAAAGCAAGAATTCCCTTTTATGGGAGGTAAGTATCTTTCACAATCAAGTTGGAGCCCCTTTTAGTGTTGTCGAATTATTCAGGTATTAATATAACAGTTGTTCTGGCTGCTCTGGTTAGGCAATCACTGTGCTCTCTCTAGGTCAGTGTGCTGTTGCGAGTAGTAGATGGCAGGGAGAGTGTAAGAATAGATTGGGCTTCTAGGGATGATTCATTGGAATGTTCTCATATCTTGCTACAGTTAAAGCAATTAGCTGATCAGATACACGTGCAGATTTTTAGGAAGTCATCCATACATCATCTTTACACATCAAGGGATTTTTGGAACCATTAATTTTTATCATCAAGTAAGGGTGGCAGTGAACCTAAAACAGTTCTTGTATATCAGTAAATCGCTCTGCTATATTTTACTGAAAATACATTGATTAGGTGTTCCATTGTATCTTATTTGAAAGAATCATTATCCAAACTTAGATCTTCTTCCAGCAAGGAAGAGGAGTTAAAGTACTTGGTGTTTCAATTCACTAGATAGTAAAAGTAAAGAACTTAGGAAACCATGATTTTGCTAAAGTAGTTATTGTCTTGACCTAGGAGAAAGTCTGTCTTGAAATTTAGGTATATTTATAATTAACAAGATTTCAGTCAAGTAATGAAAGGTTTCTTTGGGAACAGGGGTTTGCACATCTGTTGATATTTCCCTTTCCTTTTGATAAGTTACACAGAAATGGATCCTGTAATAATTGCCTCAGAAGGTGTGGAGAAATTTAAAAATGAAAACTTTGAGATAATCATTGTTGATACAAGCGGACGTCACAAACAGGAAGACTCTTTGTTTGAAGAGATGCTACAAGTTGCTAATGCCATAGTGAGTATGCAATAAATGCAGCAGCTTTTGTTATAGCAATTTGGCTACAGTTCATTGTTCATCTCTACATTCTATATAATTTTTTCTCTGGCATGTGTCAGAATGTGAACTCTGGAATATAATAGAAATAATAGACTGAATATTTAAACATATTTGTGCAAACATGAATGATAAACTAAAGCTGGATGATTGATGTTTGGTAGTTCTGTACCAGATTTAATTCTTGGTCCTATTAATACAAGGATGCTCCTGTATAGCTGGACTACCGGTACTGCTTTAACTTTTCATTTTGCTGATCTTTTGTGCTGACAAACAACAAATCTTAAAATTCTGTAGCCAAGTCTATTGCCGAGATTTTTATGCCTGTTATGAATACTTGACTTAAAACAGGGTGGATTATTGAGTAACTTTCAATAGTTTGGATATGCAAATGAAGCTGAAAGTTTTTTGCATGGGTCTGGCAAGTTTGTGATGCTGTGATCTGGCAGAAGAGTAAGACACATCTCCCACATAGCTCTTGTTAATAAATAACTTCCTTTGAGGAGTAGGACGTCTTAAAAAGCTGTCAATATTTAAAAAAAGGGAAGCTGTTGTTTGGCATTGATCGCTTGTAGGTATTAACAAGGTTATTGGCTCGGATACTGGCCAAAGTGATTCAGAGCAAAAACAGTAACTTTCTATGCTGTAGATTCTTTCACAAATACTAACACAGCGTAAGAATTTTTGAAGGTTATTAGAGAATACGGTTTAAAAAGCACAGATGTTGTTATGATTTGAAGTGAGTATAGCTTTTACAGAATCACAAGATATGTGGAGTTGGAAGGGACTGGAGATCATCTTATGCAGCCCCCCTCCTTGAGCAGGGTCAGATCCAGCAGGTTGCCCAGGACCATGTGCAGGCAGGTTTTGAGTATCTCCAAGGATGCAGATTGTACAAGCTCTCTGGGCAGCCTGTTCCCGTGTTACCAGCCTCCCAAAGTGAGTACAGCTTTTACAGAATCACAAGATACGTGGAGTTGGAAGGGACTGGAGATCATCTTATGCAGCCCCCCTCCTTGAGCAGGGTCAGATCCAGCAGGTTGCCCAGGACCATGTGCAGGCAGGTTTTGAGTATCTCCAAGGATGCAGATTGTACAAGCTCTCTGGGCAGCCTGTTCCCGTGTTACCAGCCTCCCAATGAAGTGTATTCCTGTGTTCAAGTACAAAATGTACTAACATTCTTGTGTGCTACAAGTTCTTGCATTAAATTCTGCACGGAATGTGACAAACACAGTTTAAGAAAGCAGAAAACAAATATTCTCTCTCTTCTTTTTTTCTTCCAGCAACCAGATAACATCGTATATGTGATGGATGCTTCCATTGGCCAGGCTTGTGAGGCTCAAGCTAAAGCTTTCAAGGATAAAGTAGATGTAGCCTCGGTTATCGTTACCAAGCTGGACGGCCATGCGAAAGGCGGCGGCGCTCTTAGTGCGTGAGTACTGGGGTTGGGTAGCCTGGCAGGGCGCGTGAAATTGTACAAATTGGGCATTCGTGAAATGTGTTAACATCTCTCAGAAATCTATTCCATGAACGTTACTGTAGTATTCTACAGAATGTAGAGGCTGAAGTCTGAAAAGTGTGTTTTTACCCAACTTCTGGTGGCCCTGTTGATATTTAATGTCTGTCAGAATCGGATATTGTAATATATTTTCAATGTTAGGTTGTGGTTATGATACATGTCAAACTTCTGTTATCTTAGAACAGCATTGGAAACAATTATATTACATCTTGCCTATCAGAATTTTTTTATTAAAAAGATAAATTTGGACTTAATGGATGTGACTCATCTGAAAAGTTTGCTGCTTGTTTAATGCCCCAGGCTTTTCCCAAAAGGGAAAAACGATAGCGTGTCACATCTCATGGCCGTGAAATTGTGATGTTGACCAAACTGCTGGATTGTTGATGACCAGTAACTTAGTCTTCAGTCACTTTCTTGAATTTTCTTCTTCCTTTGGCTTCTCTTGTGTTGTGCTGTATCTTGACACTCTTCACTGTGCAGTAATGGTTGTGTTTTATCTTCAACCTTATATGATGACATGTAATTTCTAGCTGCATTCAAATGATGCAGCTCGTATGGAGACAAGATGATTGGACAAAACAGTCTAATTAGTCTGACACCAGCTTGCTAAATCACTGTCTGACTTTGATATTAAGTGTTGATCTTAAGTGTTGGCATTCTTTAAATTGCCGTCTTCATTTTGCTGCTGTTGTGCAAGTGATGGAAAAACTAAACCTAGGAGTAAAGTATAAACGACACAAGTGAGTTTTTGGGTATCATGATCTTGCATGCATTAAGAAGCCCCTGTATGTTTTAGTCTTTCTATAGATTGACTGGAAGCTAAGTTAATCTAATAGCTGCTGCCAGGAGCAGTAGTAGCCAGTCAGCTAATAGCTGACCGAATCCTCAAAAGTTTTTATTTTTTCTTTTTATTTCTTTTGTAGAAGGCATAAACTCTTTTCCTGTATTAAAAATGAGATTGTTGTTTGTGAGAGGAGCTAAGAAGAAAAAGTAATCAATACCTGTCTCATCCCAATACTACAATTCCATCTCTCCCAATCTTAGAGGATGGAGTGAATGTGACTTTTTTTTTAAAAAAAAAAACTTTTCTTCTGAAACTCAGCAATGAAAATGAGGAGCTTACATTTCAATTGATCATTTCAGAAACAGAATATAGTAGAAGGAGAGTTGGCATTTTTTCCAAAGTTCCAAATGTTGAAACTTGTCAGCTATTCTCAGCTACCTATTCTGATTTAAAATTATGAATGTTTTGCCTTTGTAGTTGAGAAGCAAGATGGATACTTTGGGCAGGTTGCATTGTGTTGGTGGTTTATTAGTTGGTGCTGTTAATAAAACATTAATATAATTTGATTTTGAGTTAAATATAAAATATATTTTACTGCAGAGTTGCTGCCACAAAAAGTCCTATTATTTTCATTGGAACGGGTGAGCACATAGATGACTTTGAACCCTTTAAAACACAGCCTTTCATCAGCAAACTTCTTGGTAAGTACTGCTTATAACTGCACTTACAAGACACTTGGAATAATAGAAAGTCAAAGTGCAATACTTTTTTAATGACAACTTAACAAGATGATTTTGTCTTCTAGGTATGGGTGATATTGAGGGATTGATAGATAAAGTAAATGAGTTAAAGTTGGATGATAATGAAGCGCTCATAGAGAAGCTCAAACATGGTAAGTTATTTCCTAAGTCTAAACAGCAAGTGCATAACCATGGTAGGTTCCTTACAAAATGTAGTTCACCAAGTTACTTGTCACTACTTGTGACAATTTTACACAGGTTAATAAAGCACAGATTAACAGAAGTGCCTTGGTCTGTCTGTCTTTGGGTTACTTGTCACTACATGTGACAAGTTTACACAGGTTAATAAAGCACAGAAGTGCCTTGGTCTGTCTGTCTTTGTAAGTAAGGTAGTCAAGTACACTGAGCTGTATGCTTTGCATCAAGTGACAAATAGTGCTATCATTGCACATTAACTGGCTTAAAACTCCTGAGATGTGCCATCCAGAATGATTTAGCCATATTAGTAGTAGCAAAGAGGTTCATTTGTCCACTTAGCTATGCACTACAGTATTTATGTTCTTTACATGCACAATAATAATTGAGAAAGGACAGTAATATTAAAATGTTAGTGTGACCTTTTCTAACTTTTTTGTATTTCAGGTCAATTTACATTAAGAGATATGTATGAACAATTTCAAAACATCATGAAAATGGGACCATTCAGTCAGATCTTGGTTAGTTATCCACAAAACGTGTTTTATTTTATCAACTTCTCATTTATGTTTGAAGAACTTCCAAAAGCAGTGAAATTATTTGTCTACTTTGTGATATGTATCTGAATTGAACTAAAACTTGCTTTCTACCTTTTTTGGCTGCTTAATTCAAATTAGTTTTGCATACTCTGACACAGCTTTTATTTTACATTTTAAAACTAGGGTATGATCCCCGGTTTTGGAACTGACTTCATGAGTAAAGGCAATGAACAGGAATCAATGGCAAGGCTAAAGAAATTGATGACTATAATGGACAGTATGAATGACCAAGGTAAACCAAACTTCAGTTGCTATATTCTTCATTTTGAACAGTCCTATTTACAGAGATGCTTTTGGAAACAAGTTAGGTGTTTACAATGATGGACAGCAGAGAGGAGTAATTGCTCAAAAATGGCAAAGGGTAAATTTGTGTTTCCGTAGCTTAAACTTTCTGAATGAGTCCAAATATTTAGAAATGTATTGTGACGGTTGAGATCCTCATGCTGCTCTCGTGTGTAGAATAGGTGAGATTTCAAAGTGGTTTGTTCAAGATTTTGTATAATGTACCTTGCCTCTTAAACTGTCAACTTGCAATACTTGCACATTAAATAGTTGCATTCATCTTTTACTGAGTACCTACCTTCCTACCCCTCATCAAGCCTCTTTACTCAGTAGTGCAATCTGCTCCCTGAAGCCCAAGGTGTGTTGGATCTTAACTGACACAGCAGTTAGGTCTCAACTGACACACAGCAAAACTTGCAGAAGCATGTTCTTACTGTTATGCTAAACCCATTAATTTAGCTTGCTCTGGGTAAGCTGAGAGCATAATTAGCTCTGACAGGTTTTTCCATCATGATGATTAACTTGGGAAAGAGGCCAGCATTTCAGTGCTCTTTCCATTAAAATATTATACCTCAATCATTTCTATATAACTCTGCATTGTCATTTTTAAAACTAGATCTGCATTTTAAGGAGCTGAATCTAAACTATGTTTTGTACTCTAATCTCAGCAAACATGCTTTATTGCTATCAGGTTGTAACATATTCAGTGTTTTGTTGAATAATTTTTTTCTTTCCTACACTAATTGCAGAACTCGACAGTACAGATGGTGCCAAAGTTTTCAGTAAGCAGCCAGGAAGAATCCAAAGAGTGGCCAGAGGTTCAGGTGTATCTACCAGAGATGTTCAGGAGCTCTTGACCCAATACACCAAGTTTGCACAGATGGTGAAAAAGATGGGAGGTATCAAAGGGCTTTTCAAAGGTAAAAAGTAAAACATCTACTGACCCTGTGGAGGTGGCTTGCTGTGTGAACAAAGGGGGGAAAAAATGTGTTTTAGATGCTGGGAGGGGAAAGGGGGATATGGGACTAGAGCAGGAAGCAGGTTGTAGTTGATTTCTTTTCATGGTATTTAAAATCTCTTAAACTGGTAAGAGCTATACTGTTCTTCATGCTGCTAATGTATAACTAGGCAGGGAAATTCTGTATTTTATTTATCAATGTATATTTTGTTAGTACTACAATACTAGCTTAGTACTTCAAACTGTTGGGCGGGGACTTTTTAAGTGTAGTACAAGTGTAGTAACTTTCAATCATTGACTTAAATGGATTTTAATCCAGAATTAGGATGTAAACTGCTTCTAGTTTTAGCCCTGTGTGTTAATCTATTTGTGTGGGTTTTTATGGTTTTGTTTGTAAGGTGGTGATATGTCAAAGAATGTAAACCCATCTCAGTTGGCCAAACTGAACCAACAGATGGCAAAGATGATGGATCCACGAGTTCTTCATCATATGGGTATGTGTTGCCTTTTTGCAGCTTCAAGAAACCAAGCAATTACAGTGGTGCATTTAAAATATTACACAAGCGAAGAGCACAGTGTGAGAATGTGTCTCTGGATATATTGTGTATCAGTGTTGAGTATTTCTAGCTCTTCTAAATGAGACTCAGAAAACTTGGTTTGCATGTTAAGAATGCATTGCAAGTACCAGTGCTTCTAGCCTCTTCATTCGGATTAGTCTCTCCACTTGGTTGGAGAGTTTTTGCACTTTATAGCACATATAATCTGAATACTATACATGACATCTCAGAAGGACATAGCTGGGCTTAAGGGTTAATTAACACATATGTTGTCCCTTTTCTGCAGGTGGTATGGCAGGATTGCAGTCAATGATGAGACAATTTCAACAAGGTGCTGCTGGGAATATGAAAGGCATGATGGGATTCAATAACATGTAAAGAAGCCTTAATAAAAATGGACTTGGTTGACTGATAGTTTGTTGCAACTTCAGTGAAAGGATTTGCTTTCTTCCTTTTTACAGTGATGGGGGATTGGTGTTTTGAAATCTTATTCAGGCTTCTCAGTTTCTACATCTAATTTCTGAAGATTATTTTTGCTTATACTAGTTTCTCTCCACTAATATCTGATGGCACAAAGAGTATTTCAGTTTAATAAAACAAAATCATGATGTAAAATTTTAATATTTAGAGACACTTGTAAATTGTTTGCATCAAATGGCAGCCATTATATTTGTAAACAGCCCTGATCTTTGGTTATAGTAACATAAAATGTCACAAATATACTGTAAAATAAAAATGGTTATAAATAAAGGAATAGCCTTTTTCAGTTCTTTCATAGTTATTAAAAAATAGTCTCATTACATGCTTATTGAAAAAGACTATTTGACTTGTTTTTAAATTATTGCTATAAGTAATGCTTGAGGTAAATGTTATGGCAATAGTTCAGCATCTAAAACTTGGTGGCACTGCTGCTCAAATTTTCTCAATGGAGCATTTCTAGAAGGCACCCAGGTTTTGCAAAATTATTCTGCAGAACTGTATCCTTCTGTTCTAATACCCATATACCTGTATGATTTTAGTGTCTTAATTCTTTACGTGTTTTGGTCTATGTGCCAACTTGATAATTTTCTTAACAACTGCTAATTAAGCAGCTGTTTTGCTATAACAATGACAGCCTGAAATACATGGTAGCTAAAATTCTGTTCCTTTACTGAGCTTTTGCACTGAAGATCCATGTGGAGTTGTACATGGCAGATCACATTGTTCCCAGTTCTTGTGCAGCTGTAATCTGATCTTAATTTCCCGTAGAATTTTCAGTGTTATTTCAGTCCACTGAATTTTCTGCCCGAAGTAGGCAGAATCTACAGGCAAATTTCAGAAAATGGGGAAGATAATGGCATCATAACTGACGTGTTAGAAAATACTGTAAGATGGTTTGCCCCGATGTTAAACAAAGAGTGTGTTGAACTTTTTTTCCTTTGAATTCTAGTACTCTCAGTACTACCTGGGAAATTGGTAAGTGATTGTGTTGACCATTCCTAAAGAATGTTTAAGATTTTTCTTTTGGTGTTTGTTTGATAATAATGATTTAGATACACGATGGAAGGTATAAGATTCTAAGAATTCCAGGGTGATTTTTTCATACTGTGCCATAAAATAATGATCCATAAAATAATCATTTTTTAATATACTTCAGAATATTTGGGCTGTAAATGAGCACACATTTCTGTTGCTTAAATTAGATAACAAATGTGGTAATTAAAAAGTATAGAAGATGCTAGCAAGTCTTTTAGGTATGCCTTTCACTGCAATACTGCAAAGCAGTCTGTAAAAGGATCAACTAATTTGATTTTTTTTTCTTATTTTAAGTGTATGATAAGATTGAACACTTGCATATCATGAGCTTGTGGGAACTGTCCTCAGCTACTCAGCTGCCTGCTTACTGAAACTGCCTATTTTCTTTTACTTTATGCTCTCAAGTTCCTTACAGAAGCAAGAAAAAGACTGTAATGCACAAAATAATGCTACAAATATGACAAATTTTGTGTTTTGCAACACAGTTGGTAGGGGAGAGTGGATAGTTCACTCGAATGTCCCTCACTTGCATGTCCCCAATGGAAATCAAGCACAGAATGGGCATATTGAGGATGAACAGTGATGCACTGTGCTTCCGTGCAGGCTTGATCAGAGACTGCCAACTTATCAACAATTAACTCTCTTTAATTCCTTGCACAATAATTTTTAGTGCTTAATTTTAGTGTGTTGTTCTAGTGTATGGCTGTGCCCAGACAGGAAGAGCTGTCAATAGCTGCCTGGCTGGGTAAAGGCCAGTTCAGGAGGCATTTCCGTAATGTATCGGATACGTTAATTTTATTTCAAAAGTACAGCCTGGTATAAGCAGATAGCAGCATCTTGCTCACTGGGGCTGTGCAAGGGATCCCTTAGCTTGGTGTGCATGGCAGTGCAGCCTCCAGAGCCTGCTTGCAGCAACTGTCCAAGGAGCTGACGTGAAGCTGCAAAGGGAGCATGAGTTTGTATTGCAGGGCTTCACACCAGAGTTTGGCTCAAGCTCCCCTCTAATCCTCTCCCTGCCTTGCACAAGAATAACATTTTGTTATTGGGAGTGTGGGAAATATTTAGTTATGTTTAGACATAGTCTAAGCATAGACTATGTGCCTGTGTGTACAAGTCTGTGTGTACAAGAAAATCTTAAAAGCTGTTGTGAGAGAACAGAAGTTGTCATGTCTTTTCAGTGTGTTCTTTTGGTTTGGTATTCTGAATCAGAGACTTGTTGCATGAAGACAAAAACATGTAAAACTTAACTCTGCTAGGAGGTGTCAGGAAAAACAACTCCCCTTCTTGCATTGTTTGTTTGGGTTAGGTCTCTTGTACAGTATCCTGCCCTATGTTGCAGAGAAGATGCTTTGGCACACAAGAAACCTAAAGTGCTTGGGGCAAACAAACTTCACAGGAAACAGAAGCACGAGGAGATGGAGGTCAATATTTTCTGCATAAATGGCACGATTTGAAACGAGGAGTAGCTGGGGGAGCATAGCCCTGAGCACAGTGCCTCTCTAGGCAGGTTCTTCAAAAAAGGTGACATGGAGGTTTTGACCAGTTTTTTTTTCCTCTCTCTTGCTGTCTGGACAAAATGGGTAAATGCCAAGTTTGTGGGGTATTTGAAAGCAGAAAGTCTTTAGTCAGGTAATTGTAATAGTGCCTAGGGAGAGCCACTAGAAGGAGCTAACACACAAAATAAGCTAGAGTCTTCTTGTTTTGGTGTTCTTTTTTTAAGCAGTTCCATTTTAGAATTGTATTATTTCAAAATCAGTGGTATTCTGTAGTTGCCCTTTTTTTCTTTGGTTATACTTTGTTAACAAACTTTGAAATGTGTGCGCTTACTTGTGCAAACTAATGCAGAGGCAGGTAACTTGCATGTTTCTTCTGGAAGAAGGTGGGTGTAAAACTGTTCACTCTGTAAAGGTCCTAGCAGAAGACCTTTGATCTTGCCAAATGTGGAAAGGCTCCAGCTTGGGGATTGTTGGTGCCTTATTTGTGTTGTTGTGTGTGTGGGTTTTTTTTTTTTTCTCCCCTCTCATTGTGCTGCCTTTTTATGCAAAACTATAGCCCCTACATGGCATATTCTTTTGCCACAACATTGCAGTATCTATTTGCTGATGATGGGGTCTCTACCTTCGTTCAGCACTTTCAATATTGACACTTGATAAAGCTGGCAGCTGAGACAAATTTAACAATACTAATTGTTCTGTGGAAGATTAGGCTCAGTGTTACTGATTTAATGTTGACTTTTAATGGCTCCTAACATCTTTCAGTTGGTGCTTGCTAAGTAGGATTTTACCTCTCATTCTGAGTGACCAGGCTTTTATATGTCCTTATGCTACACTACTCTTTTTTGTTGCACTTTCAAATAATGTTTCTTATCCCTGTAAGAGTGATGTCTAGGTGTGAAAGGTATCAGAACCAGTACTTTAATTATTGCAGAGTATTTCTATCACTGCCCCTTTAATAGTGTATTCTGTGGAATACTGTGGTAACTAGATTTGTAAGTCATTTTCCGAAGGGGAAGTGTTTTCCTGCCCTTACGAGCATAACGGTGCAGCTGGCACACTGCGGCCAAGCTCTGGGGTCGGTGTTAGCATTGGGCTCACCAAGCAGGGCCCGCAGAGCCCACCTGGGCTGCATCCGTACTCAGGGGGGAGTGAAGGACAGCTCTGCTGTGTGCCTGCTGCTGGCCCTGGCTCCTTATTTTTAAAAATAAGTTTTCTACCTTCTATTTGAAAGGAGGAAAAAAAAACGGGGAAGGGGCGAGGG